ACTTTTTTATCTTTAAATTGCTTGTATCTTTTTTTTTACTATGTAAAGTAGTTGCTTATGTTATTAGTTTTTAAATTGTTTCTCATTGTGTTATTTTTTAATATTTCGTTAACATTCATAACTTGATGTATGATTGTAATGTGTGGTTCATACAATCAGATTTCTTAAAAATTGTATTACATTTTAAAATTTGTTCATGTTAGTGATAGAAATTATATTTTGACCAGTGACATCGTTCATTATTTCTTAATTATTTTAGTTTATTTTAAACTTGGAACTTAATATTTCAGCGTTCATCGTTCATTATTTTTAATTATTTTAGTTTATTTTAAACTTGGAATTTTCTGGTCCTTCGGGATCATTGATGCCAGCACTATTAAGTGTTGAGAATTGAGTACCGCTCAAGCCGGTGCTAGGGGGCGTGAGAGATGTTGCACTTATTCATTATCTCTCATGTACAGACTCAATCAAACAGAGTCTGCAATTCTTATGTAATTTTGTTGTGATTAATGCTTCCGAGGGATCACTTTGTTTCCAGAATTTTGGAACTTAATATTTCATCGTGTCATAGTAGGTCTGTGTAAATATCTGTGTAGTTTATATAGTCAGAATTATGACAATTAAATCGGACGTCCGTCTGTTCAGGGCCACAGGGGTTTCATTTCACATATTTGTAAGTGAATCGGGTCATACTAGAAGTTATATCATTAATGATTTTGTTGACAGCATAAATTATCAAACCACGATAATAATATACACGAATGTCGTTGGTAAGATATAACACGCTAATAAAGAGTTCTTGAACGGAACATTACTTTTCATCACATACACGTTTACACTATATCACCAAGGACTTTACAGTATCAAAATTTTAATGAAGAAATATTATTAAAAACAATAATGGTATGTTTTTTTGAAAGGGCCTTTATAAAAAAAAGGGCTTTGTAAAACCAATTAATATGCGATAATAAACGAACCCATATTTTTCAAAATTTTTTACTTTTAAGTTGATATAACAAAGAAATGAGAAAAAATTTAAATTTTTGTTTCAAAACATGAAAAACCACCTATGAAAAAAATTTAACCTTTTTTTTAACCCAGTGAAATCATTTGGTAACTGTTATTTACAGTAAAAAAATATTTCCTTTATACCAGTGTCTCGGTTTTCAAATTCTTATTGGCTCTGAAATGACTCCCTCGTTGTCAACGCTTGACCCAGCCTACCTTTATCAGTAATATTTTGCTCAATATGTTCAAACAAAAACTTATTTTCTACATTTGATGGTTCAATTTCATGTAATAATGTATTTTCAACATAATGGCATGTTGCAACATCAGGATATGATGCAATCATATAATCATGTACATACGATCTAACAGTGAGTTAAGCAAGTTGTTACTTTTTATCATTATGTGTACAAAAATAGGTGTTTGTAGGTATCAATTTCCTGAGTTTTTATTAACAATAAATTAAAGATATTGTTGCTTCACTTTTCATCCTCTAAATATTTCATTTTTCATTTCATAAATAATGATATTTTAAGATATAACATGTTTGATAAAAAGTATTCTTTTTATTCCCTGACAACTATGTTGAATTTAAAAATAGCTTTTACAATTTCTAAATAAAATTATAATTGTAATATTTGTGTACAGATTATTATTAGCAAATGGCAGGTATCTCAAATCAAATACCTCTCTTTCTTTACTTTTCGATCAGAATAATGTACTCGGTTTAAATGAATGCTCTGATTACATCATTATTAAAGCCAAAGGACATCATAGGTAAGTAGAAACAAATAGTTGCATAATTGAAGTAACGTCATCATAATTTTAGAAATCCACTCAATTTAGAATTATTAAAATGTATGCACAAGAAAAGACTAAGCGCCTTTTTTAAACAAATTGCGTTGTAAATGATTTTGACTGTACTCTTTTTAAAGAAAATGCTTTAAAACTGAAAAAAATAAAAATAATCAAGTGTAATCTCCGAACTTTCAGAAAACACAATATTTTGTTTCATTGGTTATGAAAAAATAGGAAAATCGACCAGGAATGGTGGACATAACTAAATGGTGTATCGAATAAATAAAATGCCTTTAATATAATATTATTACTGATTAATTCCGCTTTACTTTAAAAGTATACCTAGAATTATAGGTAACAAAGAATTTGTAATAAGATATGGTGATTGATTATTAACAAACAGCTTTCGCCCTTTATTTTGAGAATGACATTTTTCCAGCACATCTCCTTGTTTATATTAATGACAAAAAACTTCCTGTTGTCTAAATTATATACATATACATACATATTAGATAAAAAGTGCTTGCGTAAAATTTATCATCTAAATAGGATTTGGTTTTTGTAAAAAGGGTAAGTACACCACGATGTCACTTCTTTGGCACATAACCATTTTGATGTATAAAAATGCCGTTTAACAGTATTTCTCCATGCCCACAAAATATTAAATATAATCAATACAAACAAGCTCCCATCTAATCATATAATTATGTTCGATAATTGAAATCAATAAACTCAAATCTGACCAGACAAGCAATATATTCGATAGCAACAAGTTCCTACCTGATCAAAAATAAGTGACATGCAATAGCAACCAGTTCTCATCTGATCAGAATTGTAAGACATTCGGTAATAACCAGCTCCCATCTGATCAGACATCTGAGATGACCGATAACAGCCAGCTCCTATCTGGTCAGACGTGTGTGATAACCGAGAACAGGTCATATCAAACATGTGAAATACGAAAACGGCCAGCTCACAACTGATCAACTGTGTAAGACAGCTGATAACACCTAGCTCCTATCTGATCAAACATGTTAGATATTCGTTACAGCCATATCCTATCTGGTCAGAAGTTTCGGATAAACGATAACAGCAAGCTCCTATCTGATCAGATATGTAAGATATTCGATTATTATGATCCGACACGAGGTACATTGTCATTATTATTATCCTTGCATCAAATTAATGCCCAATTTAAGATAACTTCAAGATCAAAATTTTAAGCAAAACGGGAATCTTTTCCAGAAAAGTTTCTCAATTCTTTTCGACATTTAATGTTATATAAAAAAACTCCAACAAAACAAAAAATTTTGAAAATCATACCTATACGGGGAGCGACACAATTACGATGAAAGAGCCATAATTTAATGGCCAGTAAGAAATCAACACACACTGACAAGTGTTTCACACCTCTATAGATGAAAAGCAGGTGACCATTAAGTGGTAATTGAACATGTCACCTGTTGAGAGTATATCTTCATCCACATTAAAATACAAAGAAAGATGACACTTAAATTTCTGTCCGGTTTTCAGAGGATTTGTATGCATGTTCAATATTAGAAGCCATAGAAAATCGTCCTGTATTAGAAAATTCGGAGGTTCCGGAACTTTGAGGATTTAAAGAAGAAATCATCTGGTTTTCAGAGGATTCCGGATTTTAGAGGGTACAGTTTTCAGATTGTATTGTAATCTAAAACTGTCAGCTTCTACCTTGTCAGATGTGTGTAATCACCGATAACAGCTTGCTTATCATAATAGACATGTATACATGTAAATGAACCGGAAACAGTCAGCCGATCTGACAAGTAGGATAACCGATAACAGCCATCTCCTTTCTGATCAGACATGTGAAATAACCGATAACAACAAGCTCCTATCATATCTGACATGCGAGATAACCGATAACAGCCATCTCCTATCTTATCGGACAAGTGGGAAAACCGATAAAAGCTAGCTCCCATCTGATTAGATGTATAGGTTAACCCATAACAGTCATCACTTATTTGATCAGACATTTGAGATTACCGATAACAACAAGCTTCTATCTGATAAGACATGTGAAATAACCGATAACAGGAAGCTCCTTTCTGATTAAACATGCGTGATAATCGATAACAGCCAGCTCCATTCCGATCAGAAATGTGATAACCGAGTCCGAAGGCGCTTGCCTACTGTTATAAATAAACTTGTGTAACGAATTGTCGATAATGCAAACTTCTTTTGACTTCACACACTTTAGAATACTTTTACAAATTGTGTCACAGGGTAGGAAAAATGTGCAGCCTGACCGAAAATTGAACCGTACTCCCCGGAATACCATTCCACGAGTCTACCAACTGAGCTATCCGGTCGCTTACATATCTGTTTGCCTATATAGTGCACAGTGCTGATCCGTGACATACCCCCGTGCTATATTGAAGTTAGTTCTTGCTTTTCTCCGGGTTACAAAGCAATGTTAATACTAGCTTTATGTAGTCATGGCCCCACGACGTAAGGCGTACTTCTATAAATTGTGTCACAGGGTGGGAAAAATGTGCAGCCTGACCGGAACTTGAAACCGTACTCCTCGGAATACCATTCCGCGACTCTACCAGCTGAGCTCTCAGGTGTAGTGTATCATCGCAAAACTTTCGATGTTTATATAACATATTTATTTACATAATCGTTTCTATAAATATCATACATGATTTAAGTCGATAATGTTACTGCATACGTGTTATACATGTTTTTATGGGTTGAGAATGTCAGAGCGTTTTCATTGAGGACAAAGGCAAAATATTAGCCACTTTTGAATAATTGCTTTGTTTGATATAATTTCTGTTGTAAACTTCTCGAGCTGTCTTGGGATGTTCAAGATGTATTTAAAAAAGAGCTGCGCACCCTATTATACAAACCAGGAAAGCTGAGCAAAAAAATAAAAATTTTGTTCAGCGGTCAGCTAATCAAAGTAAGCACGACCGCTTTCAATAGACCTAGAAATGTTTCATTGACTAACTTGTTGATATCAATAATCAGTTTTATCAAATCAGAATGAAATCTCTTCAGCCAAGAGTTTCGTTTGTTATCTTTAATATTTCGATAGGGATTTTACTTGTACATTGTTGTATGTAAGTAATGTTTAGTTGAAAATTGTGTACATGTATATACTAGAATCAAAACCGGTTCATCTTACAAAGGAGACAATTAGCAATTTATTGTTTTATTTACAGCTCAAAAATAAATGTCCTGTGAAATAACTGTTAATAAAAAGAAACGAGAGAAAAACATTTACTAATAAAATAATACACATGCAAATCAAGGAGAATAAACATCTGTTAGGAATAGACATAAACGTTTTGAAATTCTTATGTATTTTGTGAATAAAAAAGCCTATAGCCGTTAAACTGGGGCACTTATTTATAACATGATGTTATTTAAAGATGACTTGTGCAATGTAAAGGAAGGATCAAATAGTTACATCACAAAATATGATGAACAAGATCAACAAGGAAAGGCGGCGTTCAATGAAAGCAACAAGGTTTCAAGGTAACAAATAAGAACTTACATACAAAACGTATTTTATACCATGTTAATCTTATATAATATATGAAATATATTATACTCAAATGCTTACTGTGCACTGATTTAAATAAGATGGTTTTTACAAACAAATATATACTTTATCTTACTCGCTCATTAACTAAAATCAGCCAGAAGGAATGTTATATAATCAAGAATGAATATCATACAAATGCTTTGAAAATACAAACACCAATCAGTTATTCAATATAACTTTCAGTAGATGTAACTGAATAAAAGTCTTGATACAAATAAAAAAAAACGTTATTGTCACATTTCTATACATTTAAAATTATACATTTTCACCCATTGGAGGTATTATTTTAATTGTAAATATAAACATGTAAAGCTGTCCCCCAATCCGTTGTCGATAACAAAGGAGCTCAAATTTAATATCATGGTTTACAAGTTCTACTAGTTACAAGTGTTTTTTTACATTCAGTCAGCTTCAATCAACAATTAAAACCATAGCCATGAATATATTGTATTTTGTTAACAACTTTTATCGTTAATGATATGCAAAATGCATAACAAATAATTTGTTACCCGCCTTTTCCACGAACAACGTTTGGTTCTCCAGAGTCTATGTCAACATTTTGCTAGTACACAAAACAAAAAATACTTGCCGGGTACTACAAGCATAATTGAACTGTGTTCGTAGGAGCAAATTATTTCATAGATCTAGGCCTAAACATATATTTAGTACATTGCCTATTTGTCAGTGGCATATTACGATGAGTATTGTGAAAATACTTTTGAAATAATTTATTAATCTACGAACACAAGAGCGTTATCCCAGTTACAGTTTTAAAAAAGTGATAATCATACTTTTAATTAGAATGAAAAAAGATTCTCAGATTCTCGTCAAGGTCTAAAATGTCAATGCACTTGTCATAATTGAAAATCAAAATGTTATACTAAAAAAATTACATCAGCAACATTATTTAGATTTTTTCTGTCTCTAAGCATTTTAGGTAACGATGTAAAATATTCATATCACACTTATTGGTTTCCTCTTCTTCATCTGAAAACAACAAAGCAACGATGTGAGGAAAATGATAACGTAAGTAAAGACTTTCAAAGATTTTCTTGTATTTAATTAACACACGTAGGTATACATTAACGGAGAAGAAAAAGTACATTTACAGATAAAATCACCCGAACACGCACCGTTGCAGGTTTTTAACATGCATGACCCAGGGTGCATTTAAAAAAAAACAACTAATTGAACTGACGGACCTGATTGTTTTATTATTGAAACAAAACTTTCAAGCAATATCGCGCTAGCACATGAAAAGCAAGACAAAAATACTTTCTTTATATGAAAAAAAAATCAAAAACATTTTCTTAATTTCTTTATTTTTACGCTAGAAAAGCGTAAATACACATTATTCGTGGATTTACATCAGCTGTACATAGCGCTCGTACTTAATTAACTTCACCTCGTTGGTTCGGGCTTTAAGTGAGACCTCGTGCTGTAACAGATGTTGACGCACGAAATTATCTAAATTAATACATTCATGAAAGTAAATGGCAGTTTTGAGTTTGAAAATCAAATTAAATTAAGTGTAAATTAACCAAAACAATGTAAATTGAAATATAAGCTTAAGTTTATAAATCTATCTTACATCTCTGAATTCTCATACACGACAGGCAATTCTGTGGATTTACGATTATCTGTAAAATGCAAAATATTTATTTTAATAATCGTTGATAAGGAACGGATAAAAACAACACAATCTGTTTCACAGGGCTGTGTCTCTTTCCTATTTCCCAAACAATGTTTAGCTTCCAAAAATTGTTTACTGTTAAATTCAGTACTTTAGTTATTTTTTACAATACTCTTTAGACATTTAGCACATTTCAAAGTTTTGTTTTTTAGCATCATATACTTCATCATATAATGTATTAGACAATTATGCAATAATCACAAGCTGGGATCAACTGCCTCAATAGATATCACTAGAACACACTTTGAACATAACAAAACGCTGCAACAGACCGAATGGGGCTTTACCTGCATGATGAATGGAGCTTGCCATACGTACATACTTTACATTCTTGGCATCACTTTTTATCTTTATTTTTCCACATTTGAATGTACTTAAAATATTCATAACGAGCTCATTTCATGTCCAGTAGATAAAAATTGGTTCCAAATTGTTATACAATTTGCCACGGTAATCTAACCTCTATTATTAAATTAATTTTACACTAACTGAGTTAAAAAGATTTAAGAACCACATATCAACACATCACTTGGTACTGGTTGGATTTCAACTGCAGCACTTACGACAGTTGCAGAAACAATCGCCTAGCTCATATATGAGCTTTTAAATGACATAATGGAATATGAAGAGTTATCAATAGAATCATCTTGAACTGTCAACGGAGGGACATCTATGGTAAAAGATACACCTGTTAGGGAGAGACGAGTCATACAGTTAACATTTACCAAACAGATGAAGGACTTTATTACTTTGATCAATTCATCCCTATCGGCTGAAGGATGGTCTACGCGTTGATATATCAGAATTGCAGCAACCAGTGTTATCGAATGAAGCGACTTAATTAGTTCGAATTATTGAAATATATGCATCTCTTGGCTCCAGCAGATGAGGTGGTTTTGACGTCTGGCGCTGTTTAAAATTTAGTCAAATCCGTGTTTTTGGCGCCATATTACCAAACCAAACAACCTACCAACCAACTAACCAAACAAACAAACAAACAAGCAAGCAAAATACTTGAATCAACTATCTATCAAAATTCAAGTTCATTTGATTTTGCCAATGTTTTTTTTACGGTACACACACATGTTTTTGGGGACCATCCAACGTTTTAAAACAAATATTGCGGACGTGTCCTGCTGATGGTTTCATTATCGCCGACGTATAAACACATTTGTAAATGTTCAATACAATACTCATAATTTCACCATTGTCATGTTTCTTTGTAACCCAGTATTATATGGACTATAACTTTCACTAACCATCAATAAACTTGCTCAATAAAACATAGATTGCAACCCACCCTTTTAAATATGTCGTTTATGGCGTTCCTTTGGCAGCCGTACTTTTTCTATTTGAGAAGTGAAGAATATAAAGGCTGGTGGTCACTATTCATTGCAATAAAGAAGTCATGACCTATCCAATACAGTTAAGAACACCAAAAACAAGGTATGTGTACTAACACTACTCACAAATCACTCAAATTCCAAGAAGACCAACCTCAGCTTTTGTCTCAGGAAGACATCAAGATAGCAACATTATGACCTTATTTAATCTTGACGAGCAAAAATTATATTTTCATACAAAATAGATCCAAAGTATCTTTAAAAATGAATACAGATATGTATAGTGAAATAGTCAGGAAGAAACAAAATATTCTGTTTATTGTGATATTTCAATTTCTTCAGTCAGATTGGGATCAAACTTTAAATTCTCAAATGATGAAGTATATTGTGACTTAATTTGATGAACATTATCAAAATCAAACTTTCAACATTTCAGAAATGTTTGATTGTAGGTGTCATGGTTTTGCTCGAATTAATCCTTGAATCACCCAAGTGAAGTATTTCCAGATATGCATTCGGATTTACAAAATTGATTGCTACAAAATGCTAATACAATTATTCTCTCAACAAAGACCATTTATTTTTGTAAAGCAAATCAATAGTGGTCAAAATTTTACAAACCTGGTTGTGTATACATTTCCACCTCCTTAGAAAAGTCCTGTCTTGCCAACGACTCATACCCGGCCTGTAAGTCAGTATCTACAATATAGAAGATTGAGTAGAATACAAATATGGCATACGTCTAGAAATAGAACTTGAGTTACACAACGACAATAATGTTTTCACGAATTGAGTATATTATCATTATCACAGTGATTTCCACTCTGTGATCTCATGAAAAAAATTTTGATGATAATAACATAATTATGCAAAACAAGAATTTCAGCTTCAGACAATAAACGCTTCCCAAATCTGAACAATTGTCAATGAATTCAAATGCCTATCAGTCAATAAAGTTAACTACCGAATTTAAAAACATCTGTAAAGGAAATGATTATATTCAAAGGTTTAACATGAATTTTAAAGTATAATAAAGGGAGAGAATCGCGATAGTCGATAGCAGAAGACTAAATCAAATGCATTTTATAAATAGTGTTTTCAATTTGTATTTTTTGTTATAAAATTAACTTATTTGCTAGAATAGTTGTTAACATTTTAGCATTCCTGCGACCTTAAATTTATCAGATTTCCATATGAATTTACTTTCTTAAAAATTATCAACCAAATGAGTGGTTAATGATTGGTAAAAAATGATGAGTCTATTTCATTTCCTATATGCACTTGTATAAGGTAAGACAAAATGAATGACCAAATAGTCAAGCAAATTTCTTTGATTAGGCTACTGCCACATCAATTTACTTTCACAATGGGACGTAATCTGAGAATGAAACTGAAATATAAGAGATAACGATTTAAATAGAAAAATGAAATAAATAACAGATATACGTTTACTACATTGAAAGCAAAAACAAACGTCAAACAAAATTATCGATCTTGAAGTGCAATGACCAATGAGAAAACAAAGGCATTATCACTAGCATACGCCTTATTTAAGTTTTTAAGATTTAGTTCAGAAATATATATCAAAATAAATTTGAAGCCAAAAGCACATCTGAAACATTGTGACTGAATACAACGACAGTTATAATAATTATGTAAGCCGAAATGCATGCATTGCCATCGGTTACATTTGTGGAGACAAATACAGAACTATTCAAATCTTTAAAATGTAAGCGAAAACTTAGTGATAAAAATGATCAAAATAGAAATGTACATTCCCAAGAAGCCTATAATGAGTTTGCTTATTCGATTTGTTTCGTACTAAGAGAAATAAAACAAATATACAAAGCTGAAAGTAACGGAGAAAAATCAGTGCAATGTAATTGATGTCATTTTTTACGTCAACGTTTAATGTTTAGATGTGTTCCGTCATAAAATATTTTATTGCAAATTGATAAATTCCTTTTTTAGCACTCCTCCTAAATAAAGGGAAATGTGCACGAGATAGAGCTAACACTAAATATATTTTACATCAATATAATATTATGACCTTATTAAGTTGAAGAGAAATCGTTAAAGTTGTTATCTGTCTATTCCTTTGTAAAACAATTGAATAGCCACTGGGTGTTAGCTTAACGAGTTCAATGTTCAGGAGACTTGATTTAAGAACATAACACTGTGTAATACTGTGACACACTATGTCAAACGCAAGGTGTATGACTTTTATATTGTAATTGGATTATAAAATTGACAGATCCTTTGGTTATGTTTTTATAGGGTGCATTGTAACGCTTCAACATAAATGACATACATATTGTAACAGTTATGCTTTAATAAAACACATATGGTAATGCTTTCATGAAACAAAAATGTAATGCCTTCATAAAGGTAAAAACAGCTTCACAATAACTGCTTTGTTCTTTTTCTTACCGTCGTTTCTGCTTCCATTATACCTTGAAAAGAGTATCAAAAATACGATTGCCGGGATATAAAATATTTTGTGATATTATTAGAACCATTATTTAATGTAAAACTATATATAAGCACAAGTCAATATAAAATAGATAAATACAGAATCCCTAAAGAAAGCCAAACACGACAAAATTGAAAATGTTGCAGGCTCGGTTTGATTGAGCCTGTTCATGGACGGTACTGGAAAGTGCAAGCTACCGTCCACGCCCCCTAGCACCGGCTTAAGCAGAATTCAACATTTAAACATGAAATAGTAAAATTTTGAATTTAGAAACATCCGCAGATGCGTTCATACGGCGGTTATCATGGAACCTTCAATGTGACACTTCCGTGCCATTCCATGAAAAGCGGCGTATGGTCCCCAAGTAAAAAAAAGCGTGTGCCCTAAACGAGAAAACAATGGACGGAACTAAATAAAATGGAATTTTGAAAGGGGATCAGAGGTTATGAAGCCTGCGTATCACAGATAAGACGTCAAAAGACAAATTTAAAAAGCAGGCAACATATCCTAAGGGTGATTCAACATTATTCAAGCAGGAATATTGGAACCACCCAACTAGAAAATGACGAAAAATTGAAACTAAAAATACCATAAGCACAACAATAATGTCGTGCTGAACGATCTTCAAGGATCGAAAATATAACATCATATAAACCTGTTGTACACTATTCATGGACATTTTAACACGCTTATTTCATATATTCTTTGGTATTCAGAATATTCCGTAATGGTTTGGCCCAAACTCGTCTGTACATCGTAAAACACAGTAAAAACAACAATATTCCAGTCTAATAGTCAACATTAAAGCAACATTATAGCAACAAACATTTGAATACAGATAAGTTTTCCTTTTAGAAGTTTTTTTTATCGTCAATCTCTAAATGTTGGTATAGTGCACAGGTATAAAGATTTCAGTAACATACATTTTTAGATTTCGAAAACAATAATTATTTTACCTGTAAGATATTTCTTTCTAGATATCGTAGTTGTTACAAATTTTGCAGATGAGTGATACGAATGTCACATTTTATATCATGAATGAATATCACATTTTATGTCATAAATGATTCTATTGAATGAAAGTTTAATACGTATCAGATACCTTTCACGGACATGCCGTAATAGAAAAGAGCAAGAAACTCGATGTGAGCGTTTTACAATAATAACTAACACTGACCATTTCTACAACACTATTGCTATAAAATATTTACATAACATCTGAATAAGGACATACTCATTGTCAACCCCGTCTGTTCTGGTCACCAACAATGCACCTTTTCTTCTTTTATAAACCATAATGAAAGATATGACAGAGGTCAGAACCGCAGTTATAGGTATACCTATAGCCAGACCTAAAACATAGCTGTGAACCATAGCTTTTCTTGATTCTGAATAAGACAAAATGTACAAATTTTGATAGAAAACAAGCAAAAAGTAGGAAGATAATATTTGTTTTCAACCGATCACTGATATGTTCGCTCAAGATAAAATACATTCACTTATTTGTGAATAGTTAAAATTGATAATATTATTCAACAAACTTTAGACAATGTCAAATAAACTCATGAAATAGGGAGAGAGCTCCACAATTGTTGTTTTATCTTTAAATATATCATAGCAAGTGGTTAACAGACAATACCTTTTACAATAAGTGATATATTTTTTGATGTTATCCCATCTATACCATTGTGTGCCGTGCAGGTGTATGTACCGGAATAGTCTGTCGAGACGCTTGTTAAATTGATATCAAGACTTTTTGTATCGTAAACCACTAAAAGAGAAAATGATAATAGTTACTTCATATATCACTTTGGACAACTTTTAATCTAGCATGTGAGAAAGACATATTTTACCAGTAAATGTTGAATTTCTCGTAATTTGCAAAGGTATCTTAAAATGATTCATATCAGTAGGGTTTGACAGACGGACAAACATATAACGTGTACAATATAACAACTAATAAAGTAACTAAAATCAAGGAAACAGGGTTTTGGTTTTTATTGATAATTCTGATTGATTACATAAAGTGTAGCATATTGTCAATGATTTACAGATTTCTGTATTATACTCGCCTTGAATTAAACCAGACTGTTTGTACCAAGATATTGTTGACGGTGGATTACTTTCCACGTGGCAAGTCAAGTGAACGTCATCACCGACGAATATATCTTTGTTTTCTTGCCAAGATATGTTAACTATTGGTGAATCTATAAACAATTCAAGTTATAGCAAAATAACATATTTAAACACGAAATGCTAATATGCAATAATTTGAAAACATCTGCAAATTTTGCTACTATTAATGACACAACAAATTTGAATAGATAGATAGATTTATTTCGGCAAAGGAAGCATATACATAGTTGACAATATAACATAGGATAAAATAATGAGCATTATTAAATACTATATCACATACGAGTAAAATATGACATGCTCACCAAAACCAAGGATAACACAAAAAAGGGCAAAAAAGCTCTTATTTCCATTGTGGTCCTTTGTATTGGCGGCATGACATAGAGAGGCAAACCTAAATATAATCATGTTTAAAAATACTAATAAATCATAAAAATGTATATCACAGTCAAATCTTGAGTTAATGATACTCCTGTTTACAGCTAGTATTTAAAACACATTACTAAAATTGTAATAAGATAAATAGCAGACAATTTAAAATCCTGAGCCGAAATATGTAAAAACATGTTTAAAAAAAATTTAAATACTGTTTATAAGATTACTTTTGATGGCAACCTTAAAACTTTGTAACCTGTTGATCTCCGTTAACTTTACAGGTAAATCATTCCATAATTTAATACCAGAGAAAGCAAAGGATTTAGAACCCTGGCCTTTGACCTTAGGTAGACAATATCCACCCTTTTGACTAAGTCTTGTACTATAATTATGAATGGAATCTTGTGAAATAAAGTGTTCAGACATAATCCGGAGATAGGCCATTTTTTATCTTAAAAACATGACACAACATTATCTGTTCAACTCTTTTGTGGACCGGTAACCAGCTAAGGGACTTAAAGTGGGATGGGTCAATGTGGGCTCTGGAGTCCAAGTCAAGTACAAATCTCATTATTTTGTTTTGACAAGTTTGTAACTTATTTTTTAAAGACTGTGTCAAGCTATTATACCAAACAGAGCATGCGTAATCATAGTGACACTGAATAAGAGACATAACCAGAAGTTTCTTGGTATGCTGAGTAAGAAACTCTTTCTTGCGGTAAAGAAATTTTAACCGAGAGTTGGCCTTCTTAAGAACAGACTCAGCCATGGCGCAAAATGACAGATTTTGGTCTATAGTAATCCCAAGATACTTGATAGATGAAGTTGATTCAATGGATGTACCAGAACAGGTTATATGCAGGTTAGATTGTGACCTAAGCTTTTGCCTGGACCCAAATAAAATTGACTCGGTTTTACCCAAGTGCAATGACAACTTATTGTCCACTAACCATTGGCTGACCAATTCCATATCATCTGTCAATGCCTTTTCAACAACAGATAAACTTTTACCAGATACAAGGATACCAGAATCATCAGCATACAAAAGCAATTTATTTTTGACCACAGCTGACATATCATTTACATAAATTAAAAAGAGAAAGGGTTTAAGGATTGAGCCCTGAGGAACACCACATGTTATTTTGGAATTGGAAGAATAAGTACCAGAGACATCTACAAGCTGCTGTCTATCTGATAAATATGATTTGAACCAATTTAGGACGTCAATACTAAGACCTGATGCTTGCAGTTTCATTAAAAGAATGGAATGGTCGACTGTGTCAAACGCTTTCTGCAAATCCAGCAGCACCATACCAACAACATTACCTTTATCATTTTCATACCTGATAAAGTCTGTAAGGTGAATCAGACAAGTATCAGTAGAGAAGCCACTCCTGAAACCTGATTGAAATTAATACAGCAGATCTTTATCCTTAAAATAAGCTTCAACCTGGTCATAAACCTTTTCAAGGATTTTAGATACAACATTTAAAATGGACACAGGCCGGTAATTACCAACAGACAATTTGTCGTTCTTTTTATAGAGGGGAACAACTCTTGCAGATTTAAGATCATCAGGGACTTGACATTGGATAAGGGATAAGTTTATGATATGAGCTAATGGACTAGCAATAACTGGGGATCCATCTCTGATAAAACGTGAGGGTATACCATCTAAGCCAGTAGCTTTTTTGACACCTAATGAAGTTAAGTATTTAAGAACTTTACTTTCAGAAACAATGAAAAAAGAAAAACTGTTTGCAAAAACACCCTTGTTTGCATAAAAAGTATTAACAAAATTCGTACCAAATTTATGCATACTTTCTGGCAACTTTTCAACAAGTTTACATGCAACTGTTGTATAAAATTTGTTAAATGATTCAGCAATAAGTTTCTTTTCAAAACACACATAATCATCAATATTTAAACAAATATTTGAACTGGTTGAAGATGAACCCTTCTTGGAGGGCAAACCAAGATTTTTAACAGTTTTCCATAAAGAGGTTGAGTCATTTTTGTTCTCATCCAGTGTATAAGTAAAATTTTCCTTTTTTGCTTTGGCAACAAGATACTGAACTTTGTTCTTGAGAGTCTTAAATGAGTCAAAATTATCACACTTTCTATCACATTTATATCTATTAAAAGCTTTATCCCTTTCATTAATTACACTAAGAATGTCTGAGTCAATCCATGGTTCGGTTCTCTGTTTAATTCTGGTCTGTTTCACAGGTGCTATATTGTCTATCACAGATAAAAATAACTGTTTAAATATATTCCAGGCATCATTTACATTATCACTTAGCAAAACAGGAGACCAGTCAGTATCTAGAAGACTAGCTTGAAAGTCATCTTTGTTATAATTTTTCAAAGATCTTAAAGTGACATTGTTATGAAAACAAATAGGAATTTTACTGACTTTTCTTGTACAAAATATTAAGCTATGATCACTAAATGAAGTATGAATTACACCTGACTGAGTAATTTTATCATTATCAGACACCAATATCAAGTCAATAATAGTTGCACTTGTGATACTAACTCTAGTAGGTTCTGAGATCAATTGTTTGTAATGAAACATATTAATAAATGACTTAAAACATTGCAAAAGAGGATAAGACTTAACTTTAGACACATCTGTATTAAAATCTCCTAAAATTATAGATTCACATTGAAAAAAGTCACTACTTGACGAGCATAAAGAGTCTAAAATTGTATAAAAGTTTAGTTGCACAGGAGGTCTATAAATAACACCACATAAGATAGGTTTTGATTTTGGTTAAAGTATATCAATCCATGTAGCTTCTAATTCTTCATGCTTGAGATCATCACGTGTGTTGTAGGATAAATCCTTCCTGATATAAATACAGACGCCACCCCCTTGTCTGTTTCGATCCCTGCGCTGAATACAATAGTTGTCGATGTTAACTTCAGAATCTGGAACTGAGTCATCTAACCATGTTTCGGAAACACAAATACATGCGGCTCTAGATCTACGAGCTACAGAATTAGTTTCATGTAGTTTTGGTAAAAGACTTCGAGTGTTCACATGAATAAAATGAAGACCACGTTTATTGAAAACTTTAAAATCACTTGTGGTGGAACTAGAAGTGTCAGCTGAGGGTCCGGGGCACGGATGGATATCTCCACACAACAACAAGCATATAGGAAGTAAATCGTTTCTGCTCTCTATAGTACGAGAAACATATTTTCTAGTTGACACTGAGCAATTAATAAAGGTGTTAAAATACACTAGTTGTCCATAATTGACTGGTAAAACGTTAATACTGTCCGAAATAAAATTGAAAAGGACATCGATCGAACAAGGAGTACTTAACTCATCAACTTTTCAAACATAACTTATACAATCCGGCGATTTATCATTTGGACATGGATAGTTTTTCCTGTTCAGTGTCTCAGTTCTTAGACTTTTAAACAGCTTTGATACATTTCATGGTGTTTTATGTAATTTAGACAAATATTATATGAAATCAAAAACCCATATACAATATGTAGAAATTAAATAACGTTAAAGAATCTTAATAAATCTCGATTAAAATAGTCTAATAATCATTTCGGTTTGAGGTCAGAAAGACCTGAACAACATTATGAAAACAAAATCACGATTTAAGTGTCTTTGTAGTATGAAACGACTATGGTCTCTTGGAATTAGCACGACATTGTTTCCAAGTATTCTTTTTTTAAGGTTTGCGACACCTAACTGATTGTTATTTCAATGTTATCTAAATGTGGGATCATCTATATAACTATAAATTGAATTTCTTGTTAGATTGTAATGACTGTTGCCAATATTAGAATGTTAATTTTAAAATCGATGATTTTCACTGTTCGGGAAATAAATTGATCGTTAGTATTTCTGACTTAAATATCAAAACCACCAACGGTGAAACAGATATAAAAACAAGAATAGCAAATAATGAAATACAACGCACATGTAATATTCAGCTTGTATATGTGTTCTAAATTTAGTTCTGGAAACCCGTCAGTTCTTACTTGACATTTTATCTCTCGCTTACCATCAAATCTTGTAAAATTGAAAGTCCAAATCTGAAAAAGGAAATAAATTCGTTTCAGAAAGAGAACAATTAAATAATATTGCTTTAACTTTGGTTATGAATTTTCATGATAGAGTAGTATTCTTATAATGTTATATTAAATTTTCAGGTATAGTTGTTATTATAAAGAATATTACCTTGAACATTCTAAACAGTAGATATAAACAATGTAGTAAATATTGCATGAATGTGCTGTTTTGATGGTTTATATCTATCGATTTTTTTGTAAAGTTGCATTCATACAAGCCCGTATGACGAGCTGTAATACACCTTTATGCGACCAAAGGTCCGATTCAGTCTTCGGACATATTAAACAGTAATTATACAACATGAAAGGAATATTGCATGAATTTGATATTATGATGGTTTGTATCAGTCGAGAGAATTGTGTAAAGTTGTGTTCGCACGAGCCCGAAGGGCGAGCGGTAATACAAGGTTATGCAATCAACAATCCCATTCAGTCTGTGAATCGCATAATAAATGTATTTTTGCCATCAATCATAAAATAAGTTATGTTGTTGGACCCTCATACTTAACATAAGTCTATTTTCCGTTTTTTTACTCTTTTCTTCCCTTTTTGATGTTTTGTTACTAACATGAATATTCAACATTCTTATTTGGATCAGCTAATCTATCAACGGCTTATCCAACTTTTGCGGCATTTGCCAATCAAAAAATTTCACTTTCTGACAATTTCTCAGATAATTTACACATAAATCTAGTACCCACCTCCGCCTCTTTTTACTCGCCTTAGTTTTGATTTCTTCATCATTGCTTAAAGTCTACATTTAACTTGTATTAATTCGTTTTGCAACTGATATAAAAACATGTTTTCTGGCGTTTTTGTTGATAAATGCCAATATTTCAACTTCAAACATGTCTTATCTTTCATGTTAATTTATCATTACAATGTGAAAGGACTGGAGACAAATGAAGACAATTATTGTATAAACATTTCAAAATAGGTCAGGCTATTCAATGTGTTTATTAGACAATGGGATCGCTGAAATTGATATATGTTGTATTTCCTATTTGTTTATGTATTGATAACACATTCTTTACTGACAAAGATCCTAAATCACACAGGCTATACAAAATTTAGTACTTGCAAAAAACTACTTTTATTGTTACAACTTCTGGATTTATTTCAACATTGTTTAATATAATGTATTTATTCCTAACATGTTTGCGTGTAATAAGCAATATTTACGTCATTATTGTTGGAACATTTATCACTGTTTACCTTAGCATGACTTTTTATGGAAATTCTGTCTGAACTATTTTCTTTGGTCTGACGACCAAACAAATAAAACAGGAAAGCTATCAAATATGACATGGCATACTTTCTTCTGTTAATAAGGAATCCGCTGAGGTTTTTTGACATGACAAGACATTTTTTTTTCGAATTTAAGTGATTAATATTCAATTGATGCAAGTCTTGATGAGCTACTTGTTTGCAAAATTTCACATCATTCGTTGACTCCATTTTCAATTAATCTAATTGTGAAAAATACTCGTGATAGTAGTGCTGCGACGCTTTTCACTCATAAAGATAAAGGCTAGAAATAGCGACGCTTTTCACACATAAAGGCTAGTTTTTATTTATTTATTTATTTTTATTGGTTCTTTTTCACATATTTCTATTTAAAGTGTCCATGCTGATATGTGTAAGAAATTCAAATTTTTATGTTTCTATGAATTTGGACCCCATTGGAGTTCCTTTAATTTATTATTTTTAGCATGTCACTTACCACTGTAAGTGCCCATCCATGTGTTTCACTTTTTCGCTCGTATGTTTTATCAACCAACATTCGTGCATTATTTTCGACTCCACTCATACCAATAGAGCTTTTTGGATTTGATTCCGCTACAGTATACTTTAATTCAATTCTTGTCTTACCATTGTCTTGATTTTGTCTTAACATTTCTTCAACATGTATGTCTTTTGGTGGAACTATCAAAAAGGTAAATAAATGTTATGTCCAACAATAGAGAACTGACAAAGCTGGTGGATAGACTTTATTGTTTTTGTTCGTCGACAGCAGTGATAAATGAAAGTCATTATTCCCGTTCTTAAGAAATTCAACAATACAAAGAAGTCAAAGTATGGCAAATAATCAAAAATACATATTTAGCAGATGTATTCTTATAACGGTTATAAGTAAACATTTCATGTGACATTACTTTGGTGCATTTTTATGACACCATTTAAAAGAATTCACGTGTGGACAACAAAAACCAATAAGTAGGATATAAGAAAATATAAAAATATTCAATGATGTATTTCTATCACTTTTAAGTAATGATATCAACAAATTCTCTTTTTATCATCTACGTATTGAATACAACGGGCCACAGTGGGACTAACTGTTCAAATTAACTTTATAAAACATGTGTATTTTATGTCCCTTGAACCTGTCAGTATTATGACAACGTCTTAACTGTTTTGTTTATTTAATCTACCTTAAATCGTTAAACTTTAAAAAAAAAAAACACATGAATTGTTATCTATTTTATTTCCAGATCTATTTTCATTTCGTACAATTTAATCTATTTATCTTTATTTCGGGTTAAATATGAGGCAAACTTACACAATACATTGACTTTCTTCGTTCTGCATATTCCATTACCAATAGTACTGCAGCACATTACCTTAACCTGATTATGAAGCCGGGTAATTTTTTTTATTATCAATGTGGTTATAGTAAACATGTTTCTAGCCCCTGTGTCAATTTTCTTCATCGTGTCAGTTTCTTTTTTACCATCTATATAAACATTCGAGTTCAGTGGTGGTCTGCCGTTAATTGCAATACATTGAAATTCACATTGCGTTCCTTCTATTATCTCGTTGAAACTGATTTCAATATTTTCTGGGGTAACTGAAATATCAAAATACACATAATATCTCAGTATTACTAGTATGTAAATCTTAATTTGTATCATAGTTTGGAGACCTTTCTGTTGAAATGTGTCAGAGTTAAATCGTATACATATACATGCACAGTGCGTTAACTGGGGTGCAGTTCCCCGCACTCCAGAGCATGCCCATTGATTGGCTCATTTCTGCTGGGTTTACTTATTGTGACTGCAGAGAAAGGGATAGCGATAGAAATATCATATTCAGATGCTTGTTCATTGATTCCTTTTTTTCTGGGGTTTCATATTGTGACAACAGGCAACGTGTTTTTATGTTTGACTATGGTACAAAAGAGAAAGAACATCAAACATTCGGCAATCTGATTAATACTCGGGGCTACACCCCCTCGTACAAATCAAATAGCCTCGTGTTTCGATGCTCTTTCTATTACTTAATGTATAATATAACTTGATTATCTCTTACATTATAACGATAACAATTTTATTGGACCAATGAAAAGTTATGCATATCAAAATGGTAGAGAAACAACCTATTTTACTATCATGTATTAACCTGGTATAGGAGTTCGCAGAACAAAGATACACTTGTAAGTGCTAGCGTAATTAAATATTTTTTACAAGCATATGAGCTGTGACTTGACATTTCCAACACAGTGGTCAAATTTGACATTTTTTTATTTTTCAAAGATTCTCAAAATGCAATCTTTTCTAAATCATTGTCTCTTAATTATATACACTTATTATTTAGTGTCCATTAAATTAAACAATGATACCCACTTGCTGTAATATCTTCCTTATTCTGTTCGCATTAAAGTGTTAATTCTGGTTAATATAATGTACATCAGTCCCTACATGTTACTATATATATGGATAAAGAGAAATACTTGAAAAACATCTTGACACTGGAAATAAAATAACAATCGAAAGAATAAAGGTGATTATTGTTTAATTACTTAAAGTAAGTATACCCTGAAAGTGTTCCTCATTGCAAGGACAATAAATCAAGTGTCAAAATGAAATAAGATTTGTCAACTCATAAATTTCTTTGAAATTCTCTTACTTATATACTTAAAATACAATTGAGCGAGTGTCTGTCAGGGACTGAAGGTTAAAAAAGAGTTTAACTGCGGAATAACGTCAAGATTGCGGTTGAAAAAACTTAGTATAGTTATTGTCATTGAATCGAGAAATATACTTAAAGAACAAGATACACAATACATCTATAAGGAAATTAACAGAATCATAAATTAATACGTAGGCCAAAACAAATCAGCAAAGCTATGTTTACAACACTATGAGTGGAATGCTCTGGGTAATGTATCACTAAATAGAAAACCAGGCTCTTATTTACAAGCTTTAGATATTAAAACGATTTGAAATATTATTTCTTTCATATCAAATTGGTGTTGTCGTTAATTTTACTCATGCCGGATATTTCATCTGTCATGGGGGTGCAAGATGAGTCGCGTGCTATACAATCGCATGCTTAGGATGGCGGTAATTTGCCGTTGTGAATGAATTTGTAATTTCATACCCTGCTGTACGAAAAAAGTTACGGGTGTAATGACATTAAATCCCATGTAAAATTGTTTTAAGGTCATAAATTTAAAATATAATAGAATATGGTAGAATATGAAAGAAAAAAATATCTAACATATGTTTGCGTTTCGGATTGGAATATCCGTCCCTCGGGAACCTGCCGGTGGTCGAATCCCCTGGTGACGGATATTTTGATCTGAATCGCAACATATGACAGCTATTATTCATCTCCAATAACAACCCAAACTGTTGACAAAACGAAATTTACGCTTAATATCTTATCGTTAAGCATCAGTAATTTCTGAAACGGTAGCTTAGTGGGCTTTGGATTAGAGAGGTAGTCGATTCTTAATTTATTAAACATATTTCATACAATATCACCTTTTTGATTGTCATTTTAAAACATCAATACGATAAATATAACAACGTTAAATTAAAATTAACAGGTTTCACCATAAAAGCAGAATACAAAATGTTTATCTTATCAAATCGTCCACCACAATTATTACTTATTCGGTGTATAGCCAAATGTATGGTAGAACAATGAAATTCAAATTATGTGTACTTCAGACATGAAATATGCTAAAGTTGTGTAAATACATGTCTGCGGGGTTTAACCGATAATAATAGGCAAACACGAATGGGCCAAAAAACGAACCAAGCATACTTGACTGTGATGAGTTGTTTATCTTTATACAATAACGAGATATATATCTATCGATGTTTACCATGTTCTGTTCACTGACGATATTATCAGTTTGCAATTGACATATTACATCGATTTAACACTTATTCTGACGAATATCTGAATGATAGATCAGATTAATTTTCGCTGAAAACTTCACAGTGCCGATTGGAAAAGCACGCATCATATCATTTAGAAATATTGGCGTCAACTTTGACGTCGCGTTTCTACGATAACGTCATTTGACCATGTTGGAAATATCATATCACGGCTCATATTATTTTAATTGTTTCGTTTATCAGAAAAAGCTAACATTTACTGGTTGCACCGGGAATCATTATTGTCCTTTTCGTTTAATGAATCCATAACTGAATTTTGACATGTTATTCAAATCAGATACTCGGTCAATTTCTTTCTAAAATATTGACTAGATCTAATGTATCCATATACCTCCGCATGTAGTGTTATATAATATACAGCTTTGCAGAAATTCGGTTGATACAGATAGAGCTGAAAGAGTTCTTGTACGTTTATGCAAATGATATGTCAATACTGTAATTTAACTGATGCACTTATTATATAAACCATTATACAAATTTATTAATTACATACCTGAAACATACGCCATTACAGATGTCGACGAAAATTCTGAAAGACCTTGACTTTTCACCATACATTTAAATATGGTGTCAATATCTGATCTAGTAGGCACAAAACTGTAATTTACATAGGTATAGGTCATATTAAATTGGTCTTTATGAGTGTGTATTGCATTCGTAAGCATCAGGTCATTCTTCGACATGATAACTTCAACTGGTTTTCGAGCACCTTTAACGGAACATTCTACCATTACTGATTCATTTAGAGAGGCCAATATACATCCTTCAGGTTTGCAATAAAATTTGCTTTCAACATTGGAAAATACTGGTTCTGGTAGAACTGAAATATTTAAATCATCCACTTTTACTTTTATATGTGAATATCATTAATGTTCATTATATTGGTAAATATAATTTTGACAGAAGATATTTACAATAATATTAAATCTGTACGGGAAAATAATCTTACACCATAGTTAACAAAGGAACTATTATGTATGCCAGATTTGCAATTAAATATAACACATAAAACTGTTGATTTTACAATTATGGATTATGACTTTTGTCCGGGTCATTTCTTGTATCAATTGATGGTAGAGGACGTTCGGGATCAGGGATCGTATCAGACATATAGGAAAACGAATACAAGCTTCTGTTTAAATATGTGACTTAATTTGCGTTCCTTAAGAGTTATTTTTAAATAATGATATTATACTACATATAATGACTAGTATATCAATTTGAAATTAAGTTTGAAATATGATTATATACCACTCTAACTTTAAAATACAATACCGAATACCGGGCGGTTATTCCCTAACCGCTGTTTAGCATTTAACGTTGTAGCATATGCAAATGAATACCTCGTTTTTCTGACGATTTTGTCTTTTTTATCATAAATCAGGAGTAAAGTATTGATGGGTAAACATCTTAAATTTAACTAAAAAAGTTTTAATCGTCTACTTGAAATTTCATTTCATTCATTTTCACATCAAAAGGCATGTTGTTTTGAAGAAAAGGCAGAATTAAAGTTACACAATGCAGCAGAAATGCATTTTTCCCAATTATTTAGAGATGTGAAACGTGTTTAAAATCTTTTATTAATGCATTTAGAGCATGTTTGATGTTGCAACTGAAAAATGTAACGCAAAATGAACAGTAATTTATAATAAACTTAGCATTATGTAAACAAAGTAGTATTTTGACTTCCAATTTCCAATAATTTTACCAATTGCCATAGTGCAAAAGAAGAAAATGGTGGTTCATATGTATAGCACATGTGTAGTTCATAGAAGCTGTAACAAGATACCAAAAAATAAGATGTTTTTTAAATATAAAATGATAGCACTACTGAGGTATTATGGACCCCAACAATTCATTGATATTATATCAATATTCTTTATTATCTACATGTAACATTATTAAAATTATGTCCATTATTCCCATTCTATTATAATAATTATAACTATCACTTCTATTGTCATCGTTATTTTTTTAATAATACTACTTATATATTTTAACCATACACCTGAACATGCAAACTATTTTAAATATATAGATCTTTTCGTAAAACAGAACAACAATTTAGAAATTTCTGCCAAAAAAGTCCCAAATAGTATTTATATGCATGTATATGTCTGAATCAATCATCATTTTCTAAACTTTCCTGTCGAAAAAAAATACTTTTGAGTTACAAAAGTAAAGATAGTTTTAATATTTCAAATTGAGCAGTATAAAATTAAGTAATTTTTACCAAACATAAAAAACTTGATTGTAACACCATTTTCCTTGATTTAAATGATGACATAGTGTTTTCAAAATGGTTGACCTATGGTTTGGTTTTCCTTCTTGTTTCAAAGCGGTAAGTATCGCGAACTAAGATTAGCACAGTCTATAATTATTATCATTATTTTATTTATGCATTTGCTTTATAAGAGAGGTGGAGCTTATAAAAATCACTTTAATAATTTATCTTAAGAATAATGTAAAGCAATACAAGATAGTTACCAATATTCAAATATACTGAATTCGACACTGTGTTACCGCAATTTACTCTGTATTCGCCTCTATCGCTTAATTCGGTCTTTGAAATATCGAGGGTATAAATCCGTTCTTCTTCAGTCTCTGCTATCTCATACTTCCTATCTACCAGTTGATTAAAGGATGAAACTAATTTCTTTTCCCATGTTACGTTTTTGCCGGAGGCAACAAAGAATTGAAATGCAACTGGGTCTCCGTCTGTGATGTTCGATTTTGTGACCCAAAGGTCGCCACATTTTTCAATGCAACCTTATAATGAAAAAAAATGATGACACAATTAAACGAAAATTAATATGAAATTAGGCAAAGACTTTGATTAAAAAGAATTGTCTTTGTTTGTTGTAAAGGTGTCATCCAGTATTACATGCACTGTTTCCGTTTTCACTCAGAACATCTCGATTTTTATTATTTTAATTATAAGCCAAAAAATTGTTATATTTCCGTTATCGGAATACATCACCTATAATCTTGGAGTTACATTGAAAAGCGCGACGTTCAACTGATAATTTCACTAATAGGTATAGAAATTTATATATCTTTCATTGTTTTTATTTGATTTCCTTTGACACGTGAAGACTTTGACTCCCCAGTGTAAAATAAATTGGTAATATATTCAATATACATATAAATATGTGTTTTACATTATCTATCTATTGCAAATGATAAATTAATTGGTAATCCCTTTATCCCAACTAGACGATTTATACCAACTTGTCATTTACGTTAGTTAAGACTCCTTACAAAATATTATAAAAGAAGTAATAAAGAAATATTTAAAACGATTGAATACAAATTGAAACTATTGTACACATCTCCACATTGTGCAGTGGATATGCTAGCTAAATACTCTACAATGTTCCGTACCGGATGTGTTGTCTTTCAGTTCATGTGAAGGAATTCTTCATATTCATACTATGTTTAATTTAAACTACCAATCGTTATACCATGCGGAACTTGTTTAATATCTCAAAAGAAAATTGTAATACGGAAGCAATAGTTCAACAGCAGAGGAATGAAATCATTCGTTAATTTAATGTCAAACTAGCATAGGAAATTGTGATGACCCTATCACAATGCCCCCTCGAACAATACATATGAGATGACAAATTGCGAATTTTCTATGATATCTCAATATTCGCTTAAAAGTATTTTCATAACCCATCCTCTCTTACACAAAATGGAGTGATGTAATTTGTGACGTGGCAACAATTTCACTCTGTTTTAATGAAAATGTAATAATTGATTCAACTAATACCTCCTTCTGAAGAGTTTCCAATTACGGTTAGACGTGAACGATCGGTGTAACTTGAACCATTATATACAAAATATCCCCCACTATCTGTTGAATTAATCTCTGATATAAATAAGATGAAATTGTCACCCTGTTTTGATTCAAAGTATTTGGCTGCATCATTGTATTGTATTTCCTTGTGATCATAGATTAATTCTGCTCTTGCTGTATCCAAATTTTCTCTGACCCAATTGCGTTCTTTGCTATCCTGGTTTGGTGTGTAAATTAGACGTGCTGTCTGGCATTCCATTACCGTTTCTGGTTCGAACTTTAGGGTCCCAAATGTCATTAAATCTGAATTTGAATATAAAGTACATATATGATAAACATAAAATGAAAGTCTACATGAATGAAACACCACTAAATTAATTCCACTACAGTCTTGCAACGGCCTACAAATTAAAAGCAATACCAATCTTTTGAAAACGGCATATAAGATATAAAATCTGTACTAAAATATATGTTGATTTTGAGAAAATTATTATTTACCTTATTTCATATGCATAATCATGTTAGGTTACACGGTTTTTACCAAGATTTAATTTAATTTTATGAATAGAAGGAATTGATACAAGAATAAAGTTGATATTTAAAGATCTTGTAACCCAAAATTGTTTATGGTTATATCATAAATATGATACTTAAATGAAGATTTATGCTTATTTAATAAATAATTGTTGCGTTTTGTTTTTAATGGTATATTTTTCGATTAAAAATCATGACATTACTATTATAGTTAAAAGTTACACCGCAATTATGAGTATAAACTTGAATAACTTTTGTATGCGCATATCACATCATATTCAATTCATGGCACACTAGTCAATAATTATAAAGTAGTGTATTGTATTGTTTATTATTGTATCAACGGAATTGAAAATCTAACCATACCAAAAAACTTTTTAAAAGCATTGAAAAAAAAGTTTTTTTTTATCACATTTACAACTGTCCAACTCCTCCAAGACATAGCATGGTACATGATGTTTATAGATATCATTTGCGCATGTGATTTAATTCAATAAAAATGCCGATCATTTTTACATAGAAATTTATATGTTGGTCTTATCGCCTATAAAATAATATAAATACCACCCAATTTTATTTATGATCATTTAGAAAATATTTGATAGATAAAAAAATACAAAAAAATAGTAATTCACTTTAACAAGAAAGTAAATAAAATTTTGCATCAGAATGACCGTCTAACGCCGAGTATTATGATAATTTATTATGTCTTATATCTAAAGCTTGTTAAAATTTTGTATGTTGTTGTTTCTGCTGTGGCCTCTTTTCCTTCAATTGTTGTTATTAATATATTATGCTAACCACCACTACCACTACTACTCCTACTACTACTCCTACAACAACAACTACTACTACTACTACTACTACTATTACTACTACTACTTCTACTACTACTACAACTACTACTACTACTACTACTACTACTACTACTTCTACTTCTACTTCTACTTCTACTACTACTAATACTACTACTACTATTATTACTACTACTTCTACCACTACCCCACCACCACCACCACTACCACTACTATATGCAACTTCCACTACTTTCTACCACTACCACAACTTCTACTACCACTACTACCACTACCACAACTACCACTTCTACTACCACTACTACCACAACTACTACTGCTACTCCTGGTTTTAATGGTGTTGTTGTTGTTGTTAAGGTTTTACCATTATTTATTTTATTATTATTATTGTTGTTGTTGCTTTTATTGCTGCTTCTATTGCTGTTGTTGTTGTTGTTATTTTTGTTGTTGTTGATGTTTATTATCATTGATTTTGTTCTTAAGGAACATAAATTAAGGATACACGTAACTACTAAGAGAGAGATCTAAACGGATCGGAAACAGATCGTTAGTACAGAATTACGGTTATTGAGTATAACAAGTTTGTTACTTGTCAAATGTCAGATATGCATTGTTCAAAGACAATAGCCAGGGAAGTTTTCTTTAAAGATATTACTGAGTCACTTATGATATGGAAAGAAAAGGGTTTTCATTTTCTATATTACTGAGCCACTTTTGATATGGAAATAATTGGGGTTTTCATTTTCGTCTGCAAAACGATGGGCTGAAATTTATGATGAAAGTTAAATTGTAGTAAAAAAAACAACATTTTTTTTATTTAAATGATATGACTATAATTATTATTATTATTATTATTATTATTATTATTATTATTATTATTACCCTTAGGAGCCCTTTGAAAGGTTCAGCACAACGACTGAGAATCTTTAAAAGTTATCAATCTTGATTTACATCTCAAAAGTGATAATGCAGCCTTTTCGTAAAAATAGCTTTTATAATAGAAAGAAGTAATTGAAAAGATTGGAATAAAATGAAATCATTTATGACATAAACACACATGTACACTAGAAATACTTAATGGATTGCTAAATGTCTTCCTTTAAAATATTTGAAATAAAATACACGTCGAATGAAAATGATTGTGTCACGAATGCAACCACGTGGATAAAATACTTTGTAGTGTATGGTTTTAGATAACAGCTTTATAAATTTTATAACAAATAAGGGACGTGAATTGAATTTGTTTCAAAGCTACAATCAATGACTTACATATTTGCTACAAAACTTATAAATATTATAATATATTTAAAACTACAAGTCCCTTGATCTAGTCAAATTGTAGAACAAAAGAAAATAATAATTGAGAAAAATACGAGGGATGTTTAAGTATGAATGCCTCTAGGTCAATTTTCAGAAGTACCGAAATAAATATCTCAATTCTTCAAAATACTTACCATTATTTGATAAACAAGGTTTTAGACTTTTAATCTATTTTTAATGCGTACTCATAATATTTTCGAGGTATACTGTTCAAACACTGGATAATAGCCGAACCGAGATTTGTCGCGTTTGATATTTTCTCCCAGCAAGGTGTTTATAAAGCCTCGGAAATAGGAAAAAGGCACAAGGGGCAAGATCTTATTATCTAATTCGAAGGTTGAGGAAGCTCGATAACCTTTTCCTGTTTCAGATATTCTCATACAATCACCGCTTTGTGTGACGAAGCATTGTCATGCAACAACGAAACAGTTCTTGATACAGGACCGTATTTGGTCATTGAAAGGAGACCTTTTCCCAACCATTTCAGTTTTTTATACACGAGTAAATATCGAGAGCTAATATCAAAGCTAGTCTGAACTGATTTACATATGTTTTTATCAGTTGAGAACTTAAACAATCCATCTATGCGATAAATGTAAATTGTTTGAGCAAAACTTTGTTAAAGGCGAGATATTGGCCTAGTTTCATTCATATTTGAACACACCTCGTAAACAAAATACATGTATATACACATATATGTCAAAACTCACACAAAAATGAAAAATAATTTGTTAAAGTTAAGTTAGTCTTACATGTTCATGTACATATACTTAAAGAAAATAATTCATTTCATGTTAAAACTTGTAAGAAGATTGATATTATTTGATTTTTCCTACAACTATTGTTTATTATGAAATTCTTTTATGAAAATGTTTTTATTCTTGTTAGAATATATAACCTCACTTAAAGACCCTTAAGACACGAAGAAATAAGGAAAAACAAAATAATACATGTATTTAATTTACGATTTTTTTAAAGGTAAATATATACTTTTATTAGGCATTTGACACATAATGCCTACATGCTCCTGATCTCGTAATTAACTTATATCAAGTGATATTTAATACACGTGTACTAAAATTTATTTTTTGTTTTCTTTTTCATTTTTGTATAAGCTGAGATGAAACGTTTGTTAAGTAAAATAATCACATTATTTTTAAATAATCAACTAAACTGAGTGTTACTCACATGAGGGCCTTATCCCTATAATCATAAAGAAAACACATAAAGATGCGGCCATCAAATATTTCATTCTGATTTGTAAAGATGTTTTAAAAACAACGCACAAATACTGAATATTAACAAAGTCTATATCATATATTTTAATACGATCTAATAAAAAACAAGGACATTAATGGTAATTATGAAAAGTATCTATATATAAGCAAGAAATGGATTCCAATTAACGTCATTGAATACAACAAAAGAGTCCATTATCCAGTTAACCACACTTAAAAATGAATTGGTATTTTTAAAATATTTGCGTTGCTCTACAAAATCATCTTGAAAATCTGGATATTAACGGATATTATTTGTGCAAATTTTATCACGAGTGACTTTTTTCTGTCTGTCCTCAAAAAAGCATTCTGACACTTAATATGTATAACAATAGACAAACATGAAGTTGGTAGCATGTATATAAAACCATGTACTCAGACAATGTATGTTATTATACTCCGACATTCCTTCGCGATGCGCATGTCGCTCGGAGTGCATAGGTCACACAATTGTCTGTCTTTGTTCTACGATGTGAAAAATTTGGTCTCTACGTAGAACAGACAGCTTAAGAAGTCCTCCGTAGCGGCTTTACGACAAAACAAAGGTCGATAGCCTGGGACATATGGCATACCCGGCGCCTAGTATGTCTGATGAGATAGGAACTGGTTGTAATCAAATATCCGATATGACTGATCGTACTGAAGCTTGTTGTTATTGTAACGTTTTTAGACACACAAACTCTGTCGGTTAACGACTAGCTCACAACCAAGAGAGGTTTGTGTCCTTATATGTTGGAAACATATGTTAATTCACCAACTTAGTTTTTGCATATACATGTATTATGCTCATTATCAGTATAATGACACTCTACCAACGTCGTTTCATTACTTTCCCCTCCGAGAAGTCTTGTCCCATGACTTTGCCTGTGAAATCATTGGGTACGGAACCTCAAGGCCGGCAGTTGACTACATCCCCTACAATGGCAAGATCAAACTGAGACCTCACATATTTTTTATATCTTATACAGAGTATACACTGACTGATGAAAAGTCCAGATATTTCAGGCAAATATTTAACAATGTTTAACAATCCCGTCGCTTAGGCCAGATTAACATAAAAATACAAGAAAGGAGCTCCATAAAGCAGTAAAGCGCATTGTCAGACTGCGACGAATTAAGGGGAGGTCACTGCGTGGAGTTTGACATGCAACTTGAATGTGAAGAACACGAATGGAATAATGAACATACATGAAAGCATTAAATGAGTAATGACTAATTGATGACGGTGGGAAATACATACCAACGAATCAACGTAAACAATGCGGGCCGAGGAGGTCTCCCTAATCTTACTCGGCAATATCCTACTTGAAATCACACATTTGTATATAATTTCCCGCTTTTTTTCTTTTGCCATTTTTAATCATTTACAGTTTACCGAGATGCAATTGCAAGATGACCTATTGTTGTGTGTGTATCCGAAGCATTGAACGGAACATACAGATTCGAGTATAAATTATTCCGCTATGTTTTCATGTACATTGTAAGACAGATTTGTGAAATTTGTCACTTGTGTTTATCATTGTTAGGATAAGGGGACAACGCTATAAAGTAAACTTAAAGTCATTTGCATTTAAACTAATGAAATTCCATAATATTTGGATTTACCAATCTCGTTTTATATATTAAACATAATTTTTGGTGGTAGGGCATAAAAGTTAATTCAGATTATCACCATTTCCCTTTACCTACACTTTATATTGCTCTGATCGAATGCATTTTGTCTTATAAATATATTTATACAAACAACCATTGAAACTTCTGAAAGGATGCCTTTTCAAAGATTGTTCTCTAGTGCATATATTACAAATATAGTTTTGCTTATGTGGCCGAGCCGGAATTGAAAAGAATAATGAACTTATATCAACTTCTCCTTCTATGAAGAAGTGAAATCTTCGCTTGTCTCAACACATGCTTAAAATGTTCTTTTTTTATTTTCCTGTCAAAGTCAGCATGCATTATAGGAAGGGGTGGTGGTATTCGTAATCAAAAATTCATTTAAGAACCGTTTGTTAATAAAAAGCAAAAGACATTTAGAAATATGATATCATTTAGTAGTTTTGTCTGTAGACTATGGAACAGAATTAGTGCATTTATTCCATCTTGCTTGATGATATTTGGACTATTATTATGCTTCTTTCTATACCTCGTTATGACAATAAAAACCTACGTTTTGCTGAATACAGTCATGCATTATGATTACTGAATGCACTATCATGTAATTGCAACTTCATGTGTTCCTTTCTGAACCATCAATCTCACGTATTTTAATATGAAATGTGCTTAATTGCATCTTTTTTAAGGACAGCGTATTTTGTTCTGTGTTTAAGATAACATTCTTTGTTTGTTCTTGATATAACTAAATGGAATATGGTAAGTTCCTGTAAGTACCTTTAATGTTGCTATAAATCTGCAACTTACATTGTCGACACTATTTCACAATAAATAATTGATTTTGATCAATACTTGGCGAATTTGACGTGTCTTAGCATTCATTTGCTTCAATATATTCACTGATAACAAATATAATGAAATACATGATCAATGCGCATCGACATCGAAGATGACAACAATAGCAAAATTATAGACAAATATTACAGTACGCACCATGCAGTTGGCGGTAAGCATAACTATGCAGTTTGCGATAAACATAATGTGAGTGGCAATATTTTGTTTTCATATTATGACAGCAGGTGTCGCTTTGTCGGTACATCCCGTTATTTTCCGGATGGTCCCGCTATTTTGGCGCGTGGAGTAAATAATGTTACGTCCCCTTAATAAAGGGGCGTATACCGACAGTGTTAGTTGGGGGCTGACATGTAAGTGGAAGATTTTGAGAAAATCAGTAGAAAACGCGACAGGCGAAAAGTGCGTTTTTTGAAGATTCGGCCAGCATGTGACCAAAATTTAATAGATGTCTCTTATAACCCATCCTACAAGTGGCAAAACACCTCTTATGCAATGTTTTTACAACTTTTTGAGCGTGTGCCATAGTCGTATGTGCAATACTGAAATTGAATTTAAAGATATTTTATGCTCAAACTTGATATTTTAAGAAAGACACAATTTTACTTGACCCGCAATAAGGAACACAGATTCCCATACATTGTGTGTATTTGTTTCTATTTAAATAATATATATTCAGTAAGAAATAAATAGATTTCAATAAATTTCTGTAATAAAAATATATTACTGAAAGATGCGCATAGTTTATCTTTAAACACACATGTATATGAATGAGTTGGTGTGTGAGGGGTTCTGTGACACAGTAAATTGGTGACTTATAGGCCCATTGGGCCGTATACTATAATCATACACACATATGCTCATTATTTGTTATTAGCTATGCACATGTAACAATAATAAACAACTTCCTTCTTTCCTCATTATATATTGTACTGCGTAAAACACCTACTTGCCACTATAAGTGACTCTGAAACATTTGTAAAGTTAATAGGCCAATTAAATTTGCCTTTTAATATTCAAGTCATTAGATAAAGACCTTTGCAGCACTTAGACAGGCGCATAAGAGTAATACAAAAAAGATCTAAACCGTATATAGTTTGTATAGAGCATGAAGAAAGGTAGCTTATACATAAAGGTATATGACGTTAACATTTTAATATTCCAAAACAGTACGATAAACGGCTTGTGCAAGTTTAATAGTTATCACTCAATGAAAGAATTAGTAACTGCGAAAGTTTGAATGAAATAATGAAAAATAGAATGCAGCTTAATGCAAAGTTTAAATATCATTAAGCAAGATGGAATCAAGCATAATGCAAGTTGCAATGTCATCAAGCAATATGGAATCAAGCATAATGCAAGTTGCAATGTCATCAAGCAATATGGAATCAAGCATAATGCAAGTTCCAATGTTGCCAAGCAAAATAGAATAAATGCATTAATTCTGTTCCATAGTAGACCCATATACATCGATATTCGAGCGTTTTAAAATTAAGAACATTATTTTTTCATTGATATTTAAGTGAAAAGTTAAGAATCGGACAGAAATAGAGATAATCAAATATGTGTGTTGAAAACCCAACCAAGATGCTTTTATGATTGAATTGACTGAGGAGTGAAAGTAAGTGTGAAAAGTGTAATCGCCTCATTATACTTTAATGTTATAACTTTTTCGAATATTCAAAACATACAACCTGATAAGTTAATATGACGTTTGTGTTCAATTTCTGGATCAGAAATGAAATATCCTGTAAGAACTTTTGTTTTATCATTTTTACTTACAGCGTCGATGCAACAAATATGTTTTTTTCTTGAAAGTGCATTACGACACTAAAAAGGACCACCCAAAGAACAATTGAAGCATGCGGACAATCGTTGTAAGTTGAACACCCTTCTTGTGAATCTTTGCATCAATCCTAATTAAGTAATGACAAAAAATATATATCATTTCCGAGTTCCAACATGATATTTTAAAACTATGAATGTCAGATTGATAATTATGTTTAAATGTATGCAAAATGGCTTAACGAAGTTAAGAAAACAATCAATTTTGAGTTTCCAATGTTTCTGTAAATGATAACAATATGGCATCTTTCGATTTACGGTCATGCATTTATAAATTCTTATGATGACAAATTCAAACTCAAATATGGAAACGATTCAATACTACAGAAATAATGAAAAGAATAATGAAAAAAAATGTTAATACAAAATGTATTTTATTATTTTTTATTGCCAATGAACTGGTATGTTGTTAATGTCGGTCATCAATATTGCCATATACAATTGTGAAATATATAATGAATAAAGAACATATTAAGAGTCAAACAAAACCAATTGTCTTTCGGCGTTATTGTATTAAACTCGTTTTTTCCCGAAATTTGTAAAGTAACAAAACCTTCTGTTACTGTGAGGGTGACGTTGCATTTTTTGTGCCAATTTAATTATAGTTAAAATAATTTATGTACATGTATGCATTTCGTATCAGGTTGCATCAACTTGCTAAATATAGCAACATTTAAAAACAAAAGTGAAATGAGAAGTTAAGGGGAAATAACACAGCGCTAATAATCTTT